AAGAAAATAGAATCTAAAAAACCAAATTGAAAAATATTTAAAGCCAACTTGATTTCAAATAATAAACAAGTTGAAGGTTAAACTTAGAAGAGACTTAAAAAATAAGTTTTACAATATATATATATATATATATATATATATATATATATATATTGAACTCATTATGTGAAGAAATTAGAAATTGATTGTTGTATGTTGTTTTAAACATATATATTTACTTAGATTAAATAATTTAGATTAAAGGAATTAGAAGTGAATAAATTTTTAAATATCATATAGACAAGCTTGTTAGAAGTTTCATATATGTTGATTTGACATTATATGTGTTTATAGGTGATTGATAGGTAGAAAACTTATCCAACAAGTTGGCCACATGTTGCACATATTGGTGACTTATGGTACAAGTTGGTCATATTATACACATAAAAAACTTATTTTGCAAGTTAGGCAAGTGTCCTCCAAGTTGTATATGTGTTGGAAATTCTATATAGTGTTGTTACGTAGCTCTTAGTTAGATAGTATATATATAGATAAGATTGAGGCCCCTTCACTCTTGTCAAAAACTTTTTTGCTCTTATTCTTCTTTCAAGAGTCTTTAGTCTTCTTTTTTTAAAAAATAGCCATCTTAATCTTAATATTATACCATCTTTGATTTTTTTTTTTTTTTTTTTTTTTTTTTTTTTTTAGTGATATAAGAGTAAATTGAACCTTTGGTACATTATAAATTATATTCTTGAGAGTTTGACAAGAGTGCTAATTCACTATTCTTATTTTTTTAAAAAAATAAATGGATAATCTACTTCTTTTGTTGTATTTTAAATACTACAAACCAACCACTTTTAAACCAAAATTATAAACTTTTTAACATTAATTCTATTCTTAAAGAAAGTATATTATTTCTCTTTATAAAAAAATTTATTTGGTTTTAGAGAATGTAGATTACCTTTAATTTGGCTTGTAGATTTGTTAAAGTAATCTATTATAGAGATAGAAGAAAAATATGTGGATATTACATTTGGTGGAAATGATAAATTAATTTGCAACTATTATATTTTTTTATTTAAGCTTATAAACATTCTTAAGATAGAAAATTCAGAAATTACTAACATTAATCTTGGAGATACTATTCCTATATTTATAGAGAAGACATTAATGAGGTCTAATGTCTATGCCAAGAAGTTGTGTAGCCAAAAGTAACAAATAAATCAACTTCACAATTGAATCTGAGAAGTCTTGCTTCTATAAAGAAAGCCAAAATAGATCACTTGTTGGATGGAAAACATTAACTTAAGTAAAAAAAATCTAATTGCTTTTGAGAGCAAAAATTTGTCCAACAACATATTGCTTAAAGATTAAGTGTTGAATAAATATGCATTTCATTTTGTTTCTACCTTTCATTATCGTTCATTAATAACATGGTAGTTCAATATTTGACGTGGTACCAATGGGCTCTCTGCAAATGTGTAACAATCTGTATAATACTTGTAGGATTAAAACAAATAGTGCCGTAATTAACCTTTGAGATTTTTTCCTTAGCTACAATGAAAAATGTACATAATGGGCGATTAGACTTGTAAGTTATTGATTCCAATGAGATATAGATCAGTATATTTCTTCTTCAATATATTTGACAAGCAGAGAAAGGATCTTGTCTAACAGTGAGATGTTGAGAGATTCTGTGGTACTAATCAGACTTTACAAGATACAACAACAAATCCTTCAATCTCTGCTGGAGAAGCTTCATCAGAGGCGTGGAAACATCAAAAGATTCCAAGACAGTTGGCGAAAGCATGCAGGTGAACAATTCATGCATTTGAACGCCTCTCAAGGATCCTATCAATGTATGACACTAGTCATAATTCTGTGAGTTTACCTTTTTCACGAAAAATTATCGTGAAATAAATAGCTTCAGAGAGATGCCAAGTTGCTGCTTTCCTGATAGCTTTCGACTGCATAAATGCATGCAACAAGGCATGTGTAACATTGCGTCGGCAATAACCTGAAGATATAAAATTTCATAGCACTGATGAAGTTCCTGGTGCCAACATTGAGCGTGGAAATAGTATTAATCAGATATTGGTCTAAACTTCGTCTTGGCCATGCCAGGATCGATCAATTTTGTCGGTCTACAACAGCACGAGGTTTTAGGCCACGGTATGCAACGCCCATGTGGATGTCGCACATTCCACTGAGGAACTGCTCAATAATACTGATTGATACAAAGAGTGACAATGAAGGTATTTTACCAGCTCGTTCATCTATTGTTGATGTCTATCACCAAGTGGTCATTGACCTTCGAAAAACTCGCTAGAGAAAATGCTGACAAGTGACAACGACATGGTTTTCGAAAGCCCGAGTTGCCATCCACACACTTGGCTTGGCCACACACAACACTGCAACACAAGACTGTCTCGAGAAGAATTCTTTACCAGCCTCTACGTTTTATATATGAAAAGCCGATGCTTGACATCATTCAAGCTAATAGCAGTTGCTGACGATGAACTTAGCCTCCTCAGAAATCCTACTCAGATTTTACAATGTTGGTCGGAAAATAAACTTCGTGGATTCCGAATAAGTGACAATCTGTCGGAATCTTAACCAGAATCTTCACGAGCTTCGCTGACAAGTCCTCACACTGACTTGTATATAGGGATCCTTCACTACCACAAACTGTTAGCAAAAAGTGATGTCCTTGTGAATTTTTTTGTCCTCGCATCGGAATTCGACTTGGATTCATACCTAGTCATTTGCAGTGGGCACCAGGCCCTCTTTCATTCTGAAGTTCCAAAGTTTCATGGTCAAAACACAGTTTGCGAGTGACAGAAGACGATGACTTTTGATAATAATGTACTCGTTGGGACTTGCCTGCTTTTGAGTGAACTATCAGCAGAAAAGCAGATGTCAAGGAGCTGAGGTTCGCTACTACCCATCTGCGCAATCGACTTAAGTGAGTGAACTTTAAGACTTGTTAAATCCTACTTTACATGATCTTCTCACAATGGAACAATGCACTACCATAGAGAAAAAGTGGAACTTAATTTATCCCAAGATAGGGCTGGAATAGATTTCAAGCTAAGGACAGATCTAACCCCTAAATCACCAGGTCGAAATCAATACGAGGACAATATCAGCGACATTACAGTTGCCTTCATTCATGTCCAGAATGATTGTCATCACTCTTGACACGAACATTCTCCCGTGGGACTGCACCTTCCAGACTCGAAGGCAAGAGCATGTAAGAGAACTTGAAACTTCGCAAGGAAATGACGAAATATTTTGTCGTGCACCTCACCCATGTCATGAAGTACCAGGGAACAAAAGCTGCCGGACATTGTGGTGTGCATAGGCAAAGAAACAATCATGATCTTCGGTGTAATTATCATTAAACCAATCAGAGATCAATCCACTAAAACACTCCACATCGAGCTCTAAACAACTGCGCAATATAGCTGCAGATCATGCCCTTCTCATGTGCTTCAACATCACCCCGCGCAAGTTTAAGCCATGGCGAGATCCTGATTCTACCATAACAACATGAAGTGGTGCCTTAGATGGCGGTGTAGATATCAGTCTCAGAAGTCAGAAAGCTCCACCAACCCAACAGCTGGATCTCACGTCAGCTATCCGGACAGTTGCACCCGTGAAAGGCACATCAGAGTACAATTTTAGATAAATAATACCTGCCATCTCAGATTTTGTGAGCCGACTCGTTCAACCTTGGGAGGGAAATCTTATTTTAGAAATGTAAAGGAACATCGCAAAGAAGGAATCTTTTAGTGGTTTTTATTAAATAGACACGGGTGTACAGTTGACTGTCGACCAGGTCTTGCCCACCCTCATTACAAATCTGCAAATCTGTGACAAGGTTCAAGAGATGTGGCGCGATGGTGAGTTGGTTTCTTCCCACCCTTTTGCGCTACCCACCGCACACTCGCACCGCATCTGCCTGTCATTTCATACCTTGCTTCTTCAGTTTGTCAGATTCACAAATGTGAAACAGCAGGCTCCGTTCTGTACACTTCGCATCTCACCTTGTTACCCATCATCAGCGCATCATCCTGGTGTTGAGTAACATCAGGTCCTGAAGACAGACAGAGGCGATCTCTTTTTTCTATACTCCGAAGTGGCTTGCATTGCTAGGTGAGCTGGTTGGAGCTCCAAGCATCATCCTCGCAGCAAGCATCTCTGCCTCTACCGCTCCGCCCCCATCGCAGCAGCTTTGGCACGAAGAAAACGAAGAAGAAGGCCGCCACATCTGCCCCGATGGGATGCGTGCCAGCCACACACTTCCACACACTCTTCAAACTGCTTTGAAAGGTTCACTCTCGCACCGCACCACACCTCGTGTCTCGCTGGAGCCTCCAGCAATTTGCCACGTGACACTTTCTCACACGTCGCCTTCTATCTCTCCAATAGCCATCAATTGTTTTTTAATAAAAAAATCCAAATTAATTTACACCCAGTTCATTCATTGGTTTCTGCCCACAGACAAGATTTGCATGCTTGTTATCATGCTAAGAATCAGTACAACGATTGTTTCCATTTCAAAACAACTTCCACGAATAATGTTAAAATGTTATATAGTATCACTGTGTTTTGTCACACATGATCGACATTTGAGAATGAAATAAAATAATCAAGGAGGTTGAAGTCCAGGTTTAGAAACCAAGGAAGTTCCTCGAGCATTTGAAGCCCAGTTTCTCTCAAGACTACGAGGCAGCTTGTGCTTTGTTGGGTTTTAATTGGAGACTTCACAAAGCAAGTGGGGGGCCATAAAAGGAGGGGGGGGGGGAGGAAGCCAGCAAGCAAAGCTTCAGTTGACTAATGAGATCCATGTGAATGAAATTTGAAAAACGGAGCTGTGATTGGAAAGAAAGTACGTCAAAGCGTCCAAGAGGGGGGGGTCTTCAAGTGAATTATTAGACGGAAGAGGGACTTGGAGGGCCAAGTTTGGAGCGCGACCTCGGTTCTTCATCACCTTCATTTTTTTCATTCACTCTCACTTCTTATTCTTCTTCTTCTTCTTCTTCCTGGTTGCTTCCCCGTGATCTTCTGTGACGAGCTGAGAGCCGTGCTCGCTCTCCCCGATTTCGCTTCGTTTGTTCTCGTGTGCGCTGCCGCAGATCGGTGAGGAGGTCTCAGGGTTTGCTCGCTCTCGCTCGCCCGCACGTCTGGGGAGGCTCGGCCTCCTGCTACCAAGTCTGTCGCCATGGCGGCCGCTAGCGCGCCCATCACCATGAAGGAGGCTCTCACGGTTAGTGGTCGCGAGCTGGCGATAGATCTGGAGTTTTTTTGTCACGAGCGGAGGGGTTGTGTTGCATGTCGTGAGGTTAGGGTTTCGGGGTGCGTGTTAGTGATTGAGGATCTGTGGAGTGCGACGACGATGTGGTTGTCAGAGTGTTTTTTTTTTTTTGTGTGTGTGGACGTCTGGAAGGGCGGGAGGGTTTCATGTGGGAGTGGGAAGGGGGGGGGGGAGTGTGGGGCTGTTGAGAGGTGGAACGGTGGAGTTTGATAGAGTGGACATTGGATGAAGTGCTGATGGTGTGGGAGAATGGGATGTTGCAATGCAGCTGACGAGCCTCGGGATTAACCAGCAATTCGTCACATTTACACATGTGACGATGGAGTCCGATAAATACATTTGCGTGCGGGAGACGTCGCCGCAAAACAGTGTGGTGATCATTGACATGTCGATGCCTAACCAACCTCTCCGTCGCCCTATCACCGCCGACTCCGCCTTGATGAATCCTTCTAGCAGAGTGCTGGCCTTGAAAGGTATGCTCCGAAACACCCTTGGCGTATGGGGTTGGAATCGATCGATCTGACAGGTCCGAGGATTCTATTTGGAATGTATCAGCTCCTAGGCGCACATCAAACCTCCTGGGGAGGTGATCGCAAATATAGAGAATGCTTCATTTCGCTGGGGAAATTTCATAGGATGAAATGGTGGATGATAAGGGCATATACTTTCGGTTTGCAATCTTTCTCTGGGTTACAGTTCTAGAGCACTTTCTAGTGTTTAGTGTACGACTCTCGAGCTGTCACGTCAGTGCTTTTCTGACCGGCAGCGCTGCATCTCTTTTCTTTAGTAAGAGGGACGAACCTTTACAAGTTCATCTGCATAAAGCTAGTTAGGAATCTTCTTAGTTCGGGCATGATCACGTTTGTCGGTAAAATGTTGGCATCAAAAGTGCACCAAAACCATCTCCCAATCCCTGCGCATGTCTTTCTACGGTTCAGAGGCACTCGTTCTCTCATGTGTGCCCTTATAACATGTCCTTTTGCTGAAGAAATGCCGGAGCGATTAGTGAGACAATAGTTCCTGAACCGATATTTTAGATTATAGTCTGTCAAGTGTGGAATCTTTGCGCCTTTTAATGTTGAGAGAAGATGGCATCTGATTATTGACTCGAATCACATGTTTAAAATAAGTCAACCAACTTTAGAGCTTGAAATTCTCAGAGTGGAACGGCTACCTGCAAAGTTACGAGACTTTATTTTATTTCAAATTTTGATCATTTTAGTGCTGTGCCTCTAACATGTGATTTTGAAAAGGATTCCTAGTAGTAAGTTAAACATAAAGTATGATGTAATCGATATCATTTTTGTGGATTGTAATTGGGTAGTTACCGTGAACACCGTCACTCGCATTCTACCTTTTGGACCCAGAGTTGTTCCACTTCGCCTCATTTGTCACTCTTGCTTCGGCGACAGGGCTTATCTAACAGCGTCCTGTCCACCCTCACATATGTTTCTATCGTCATTTAATTTTCGACTGAAGAGTACGTAGTACTAACGTTGCGCCCTGTCCGCGTGAATCAGCCCTGATACCTGGTTCAACACAAGATCATCTCCAAATTTTCAACATCGAATTGAAAGCCAAGATGAAATCGTATCAAATGCCAGAACAGGTGAGTAACCATACATGTCACTGGTTTCGGTGTTGCTGATGATTGTTTTACCATGGGAGTTTCCAATGACAAGAAATAAATTTTCTACCCTTAATACGGTATATGTTATCAGGTAGTTTTTTGGAAGTGGATTACACCGAGGTTGCTAGGACTCGTGACACAAACTTCAGTTTATCACTGGACTATTGAAGGTACGTAATCTTTTGATTATCTTTTTAAGGCTTAAATGTTAATACAAGGGTAGTGTTGGGCTGCCTTGTGTCTCAACAATCTTGTATTAGCTTCACGTGTGAAGCTTTACTTTGGCCGTTTGGAATACCAAACAACTTGTGTTGCATTTCTCATTGGCGAATTTTGTGTATGACTTTTCTATCAGTTTGGTGCTCCAAACAATGAGACTTTTTCCCTCGTGCCTGTAACAGGTGAATCTGAACCTGTAAAGATGTTTGAGAGGACAGCAAATTTGAGTGGCAACCAGATCATCAATTATAGATGCGACCCGTCAGAGAAGTGGCTTGTGCTGATTGGTATAGCTCCTGGAGCACCTGAGGTAAAGATGCTTTGGTGCGCTGTCTCTGTTTTCTTAACGGCGAAGTTGTTTCTTTACTTATTTACGATAAGCGGTTAAATAAAAATGTCGGCCATTGTGAAGTCTTTCTTCCTTGGTTCTACTTGATTAGTCCTATCTCTCCTCAGCAACCTCTTGAAATTTTAATTATCGTTTAGAGTTGGTTCCTTTCTCATTTAACACTGCATTGACAGTTCTTATTTCTCTGGTTTTCAGCGGCCCCAACTTGTGAAAGGAAACATGCAGTTGTTTTCAGTGGACCAGCAGAGGAGTCAGGCGCTTGAAGCTCATGCTGCGTCATTTGCTTCCCACCAGGTGACTTTGTTGTGACAATGGTTGAGCTAGCCTAGCTTAAAAGACGTGAAATACCGACAATGAATTAGTTTTTAGCCATCCTTGTTTCTTGAGTGTACGGCAATGAAAGTTGCAAGCTGTTTCCTGAGTGTCTCAGGAGCTGCTAGACCCACTATTCTCATTTCTTTTACTACAATGACCTTGATCGACGCACAACCTGGTTTCAGAAATACATGTGATTGGGCTTTAGGCTCAGCGAAGTTGAGTCTTTATCTGAACTTCGTACCATCAAACTTTGTGATGGCTTCAGGTGGCTGGAAACGATTCTCCATCTCTACTGATTGCTTTCACAACAAAAACTATCTCAGCTGGGCAGCTAACATCCAAGCTGCATATTATTGAGCTGGGTGCTACGTCAGGTTGGTTCCACCTGGTCTGGTGTGCTATTATTCTTTGTCGAACTCTCCTGTGCCTGATACCATGGCTGGTATTTTCTCATTTGATATTTTCACCATATCTATCTATTTTAGAAAAAAATGTTGTCATGTAGAGATATCGTCAGAGTTATTTTAAGTTTTGTTCATCTCATTTTTAAAGTCATTAATACGTTTCTGTATTTTTTTGCTACTTTTCTCCGTTGTTCAGTGGGAAATAGCAGCATGTTGGTTGCGTTTAATCTCTTCTCTCCTATTAATTTTTTACTTACTCATGCTATGCTTTGCAGGTAGACCTGGTTTCTCCAAGAAGGCAGCAGATCTATTTTTTCCTCCAGATTTTGCCGATGACTTTCCCGTTTCGATGCAGGTCAATTTCTACTCATACTTTTGATTGTCTACTGGTAAAATCGGATGTTATCTTTTGTTCGTATTCTTGTCTCGTCGAACCTCAATATTACATCAAGAATGTGTTCGCTTTGTTTAGCAGTGTGACTGGGTCCAGAATGCTATTTTTGAAGGGGAATGCTTTGCTGATTTGGTGGATTATCCAATTGGTATGATTGTGTCTTGAATCAAAGGTAAAAGCGTTTTTAATACCTTGGAAGTTTCTGCTAATTAACTGTGCGATATTTTGATAATTAGATCTCTGCCAAGTACGGCCTTATTTATGTAATTACGAAGCTCGGTCTTCTTTTTGTATACGACCTGGAAACGGCAACAGCTGTTTATAGAAACCGAATTAGTCCAGACCCTATTTTTTTGACTGCCGATGCTCCCACAGTTGGTGGGTTTTATGCTGTAAATCGCCGAGGCCAAGTCCTCCTTGCTACAGTGAATGAGGCAACAATCATTCCTTTTGTCAGTAACCAGGTAAGAAACTTCATGGAAGAGAATCGTTGCGAATTTTTGGTCTTTACATCAATTCAAGGGTGAATTTTCGTATATTGTTCTCGTTGTTGGGTGCATCAATTATTTGCTTGACAAGGTTTTCGAGTGGAAGTTGGCATTATATTGATACTCCTAGCCTAGGATGCCAGATTTCAACCTCCTCTTATTTGTGAGCCAATTCTGTTGCTTTCAGCTAAGCAACTTGGAGCTTGCAGTGAATCTTGCGAGACGAGGAAATCTGCCTGGAGCGGAGGGACTGGTACGATTCTATGTTATCGGTAGATCTCTACAGGATTCGTGTTGGCGAATGATATTATGCACTGTACATTAACACTTGTATTTCGGAAATATTTCTTCGCCTCTCGTATTAGATAATTTCCCAAGGGCCTAGTTATTGCTCTACGTAGTTATGGATCTCAATTCGGTTAAGTCATATCGTGTTGTAATTTACCTAGTATAAGTGGTGAGCGAAAAAGTCCTTACTGACACACGAGATCTCATTTTTCGGTAACGGTTACATTGGAATCAGGTTGTACAACGTTTTCAAGAATTGTTCTCCCAGATGAAGTACAAGGAGGCAGCAGATCTTGCTGCAGAGTCGCCTCAGGGCATTCTTCGAACTCCTGATACAGTTGCCAAGTTTCAGAGTGTTCCAGTGCAGCCTGGACAAACTTCACCACTCTTGCAGTACTTTGGGACTTTATTGACAAAGGGGAAGTTGAACGTGTTCGAATCTCTGGAGCTTTCGCGACTAGTGGTTAACCAGAACAAGAAGAATCTGCTGGAAAACTGGTTGGCAGAGGACAAGCTGGAATGCAGTGAAGAGCTGGGTGATCTTGTCAAGACTGTGGACAATGATATGGCACTCAAGATATACATTAAGGCTAGGGCTACACCAAAGGTAGTTGCGGCCTTTGCAGAGCGTCGTGAATTTGACAAGATTTTGATCTACTCCAAGCAGGTTGGGTACACTCCAGATTACCTATTTCTGCTGCAGACAATCCTACGAGCTGACCCTCAAGGTGCTGTGAACTTTGCTCTGATGATGTCTCAACTTGAAGGTGGCTGCCCAGTTGACTACAACACCATCACTGACTTATTTCTTCAGCGCAACATGATTAGGGAGGCTACTGCTTTCCTCCTGGACGTTTTGAAGCCAAATCTTCCAGAGCATGCCTTACTTCAGACTAAGGTTCTAGAAATTAATCTGGTCACATTCCCTAACGTGGCTGACGCAATTTTGGCGAATGGTATGTTCAGTCATTATGACCGTCCTCGTGTTGCCCAATTGTGTGAGAAAGCTGGTCTCTACATGCGCGCCCTTCAGCATTACACGGAGCTAAATGATATCAAGCGCGTTGTTATTAACACCCATGCCATTGAGCCACAGGGTCTTGTTGAGTTTTTTGGCACGCTTTCCAAAGAATGGGCCTTGGACTGCATGAAAGAGTTGCTCCAGGTGAATATGCGTGGAAATCTGCAAATTATAGTCCAGGTGGCCAAGGAATACGGTGAGCAGCTGGGTGTCGACGCGTGTGTGAAGTTGTTTGAGAGTTTCAAGTCATTTGAGGGCTTATACTTTTTCCTCGGAGCGTACTTGAGTACGAGCGAGGAGCCTGAAATTCACTACAAGTACATTGAGGCTGCGGCAAAGACTGGCCAAATTAAAGAAGTAGAGCGTGTTACGAGGGAGTCCAATTTCTACCCTGCAGAGAGAACCAAGAATTTCCTGATGGAGTCCAAGCTCCCAGATGCAAGGCCTCTTATCAATGTTTGCGACCGTCATGGTTTTGTGCCAGATCTTACTCATTACCTGTATGTCAATAACATGCTTCGTTATATTGAAGGTTACGTACAGAAGGTTAACCCTCAAAATGCACCTTTAGTGGTCGGGCAATTGTTGGATGATGACTGTCCCGAGGACTTCATTAAAGGTTTGATTCTTTCTGTCCGCTCTCTACTTCCGGTGGAACCATTGGTTGACGAGTGCGAAAAGAGGAACCGTCTGAGGTTGCTGACACAGTTTCTGGAGCACCTTGTGAGCGAAGGGAGTCAAGATGTGCATGTTCATAATGCTTTGGGGAAAATCATTATTGACACAAACAATAATCCTGAGCACTTCCTCACCACAAATCCCTATTATGATTCCAAAGTTGTTGGCAAGTACTGCGAGAAGCGCGATCCAACGCTTGCTGTGGTTGCATACAAACGTGGCCTGTGTGACGATGAACTTGTCAATGTCACCAACAAGAATTCTCTCTTTAAGCTTCAGGCCAGGTAAACAAGATCGGATTGTTTATCTGTTGGTTTTGACGAGTCACATGTTAATCATCTTAATCGTTCAACTCGTTACCTGAATAACTTGTGTTTCTGCTTACTTCATGTTAGTGTGCATAAAATGTGCTACTGTAGGAGGTGGTGATGAAACCTAAAGAACTTCATTTTCACATCTTGTGATCAAATCCCTGCTCATTTATCATTTTTTCCGGTGTTTGTTTCTTCACAGATATGTGGTGGAGCGCATGGAGCCCGACCTGTGGTTGAAGGTCTTAAATCCTGAGAATTCTTGTAGGAGGCAGCTCATTGATCAGGTGGTATCTACTGCTCTTCCAGAGAGCAAGAATCCAGAGCAGGTGTCGGCCACTGTCAAAGCTTTCATGACTGCAGATTTGCCACATGAGCTGATTGAGCTTCTGGAGAAGATCGTTCTTCAGAATTCAGCTTTCAGTGGCAACCCCAACCTTCAGAATCTGCTCATTCTTACTGCTATCAAGGCCGATACGACTCGGGTCATGGACTACATTAACCGTTTGGATAACTTCGATGGTCCTGCCGTGGGTGAGATTGCAGTGGGTGCGGAACTTTTTGAGGAAGCGTTTGCAATTTTCAAAAAGTTCAACCTCAACGTCCAAGCAGTGAATGTTCTCTTGGACAACATTCGCAACATAGATCGTGCTGTCGAGTTTGCTGCTCGTGTTGAAGAGGACGATGTTTGGAGCCAGGTTGGTAAGGCGCAGTTGAGGGAAGGATTGGTTAGCGATGCCATTGAGTCTTTCATCAAGGCAAACGATGCCTCTCAGTACAATGAAGTTATCGATGTTGCATCTGGTGTAAGAGCATATGACGACTTAGTGAAGTACTTGAACATGGTACGCAAGAAAGTAAAGGAGGCGAAGGTAGACTCCGAGTTAATTTTTGCTTACGCTAAGCTCAATCGTCTCGACGACATTGAGGAGTTCATTGTTACTCCTAATCTTGCAAATCTTCAAACTGTTGGAGACCGCTTGTTTGATGAAGAACTGTATGAGGCCGCCAAAATCATTTTTACCCACATTTCCAACTGGGCAAGGCTTGCCAGTACCCTTGTCAAACTGCACCAGTTCCAAGCAGCCGTGGATGCAGCCAGGAAGGCCAACAGTGCACGGACGTGGAAGGAAGTCTGCTTTGCTTGTGTGGATGCCGAAGAGTTTCGTCTGGCTCAAATTTGTGGTCTCAATGTTATTGTCCAGGTATGAAAAGCCTTCTAATGCTTCGACATCCGATCAGTTTTCTTGAGTTTTCTGTTTATCAAGGTTCTTTCCTTGATTAGTTTGTTGTTTCATGATGTGCTCTCTGCTTATGGCATGTGTGGCAGTGATGAGTTTACTGGGTTTCTGGGTTGTTATGACTTCAGTTCATCCTTGTGGAAAAAGAGCAGAGATATTATCCTGCAACGGTTGTGTTGTATGGAATACTGCAAGTAAAATACCGGTATTGATTGTGCGAAATCTGTGCAGGTTGATGATCTGGAAGAGGTCAGCGAATATTACCAGAACAGGGGTCGCTTTGACGAGCTCATTTCACTTATGGAAAGTGGGCTTGGTTTGGAGCGTGCCCACATGGGCATCTTCACAGAGTTGGGCACTTTGTATGCCAGATACCGTCCAGATAAGCTCATGGAGCATCTCAAGCTATTCGTCACTCGTATCAATATTCCGAAACTTATTCGTGTGTGCGATGAGCAGCAGCACTGGAAGGAGCTTACTTACTTGTACATTCAATATGATGAGTACGATAATGCTGCTGCAACCATGATGAGTCATTCTCCAGAAGCTTGGGAACACATGCAGTTCAAGGATGTTGCCGTTAAGGTTGCAAATGTAGAACTTTACTATAAGGCTGTGTACTTTTACCTCGAGGAATATCCCGAGCTCATCAACGACTTACTCAATGTGTTGGCTGCACGTGTTGACCACACACGGGTTGTGGATATCATGCGAAAGGTATTTATTTATAGTGTGTGTAGTTTCTGTTTTGCAGAGTGGTTCAAGGTATCACAGGTTTCTTCTTAGTGTGGACGTACTCGTCTTATACGCTAGAATATGAGCACTACTGTGTAGCTGTTACTGAAGCACGTAATTTCTATTTGCTTATTGCTGCGGTTTTGAACATCTGCAGGCCGGGCATCTTCCTTTGGTGAAGCCATACATGGTAGCAGTACAGAGTGCCAATAACGCTGCAGTCAATGAGGCTCTGAACAACTTGTACATTGAGGAGGAAGATTATGAGCGATTGAGAGAGTCCATCGATATGTATGATAACTTCGATCAGATTTCAATGGCTCAGAGGGTAAGATCTTCATCTAGTTTCAATCAGCTGAATGCTGTCATTAGGCAGTCATTTTGTATTCGCAGTAAGGAGGTCAGAAGTGAATTAGCTCCTATACATTACTGAAACAAGTTTGAAACCCCATTTGTATTTCTCAGATTGAGAAGCACGAGCTCCTGGAAATGCGCCGTGTTGGAGCGTACATCTACAAGAGAGCTGGTAGATGGAAACAATCTGTTGCCCTGTCCAAGAAGGACAATTTATACAAGGATGCCATGGAGACTTGCTCACAGTCAGGGGATCGTGAACTTGCTGAGGAGCTTCTCACGTTCTTCGTGGACAAGGTAAGAGCTGATTGTTATTTTTTTTGTTTACTCAAGTGTATAAAATGTTTCTTTAGTATCGGTCTCTCATGTTAGCGTTTGGATCTTTAACCTTAACTATTTTTCTTGTTTTATAACGTGATGAACAGGGCAAGAAGGAATGCTTTGCTGCTTGTTTGTACACTTGTTACGACCTCATTCGTGCCGATGTTGCGGTTGAGTTGGCATGGATGCATGGCATGATGGACTTCGCTGTACCATACCTGTTGCAGGTGCGTAGTTTCACTGGATTCGAATCTTTTATGTCTGTCACTGAATACATGGTAGCTGGTTTATTACCATTCATTTCATTTTGAATATTGGCAGATGGCTTGTTTTATTTCGAGTCTCAGACACTTTAAAATTGGGTCCTGCAGTTCTTGCGTGAATATTCTTCGAAGGTGGATGATTTGATTAAAGACAAATTGGAAGCCACTGAGGAGAAGAAGTCTAAAGAGCAGCAGGAAAAGGACGTAGTTGCTGAGTCGGTAAGTTTTCGGCCTCTACGAACATCTCAGTGCTTTCTTGCAGATTTGCAAGTTCCTGATATCTAGCTACGTTAATTATGTAAAATATTATCTTTGGCTGCATGCTTGATGCAATACTGACAAGAGCGACGAATTTTTATGCAGAACATGTACGCTCAGCTCTTGCCTCTGGCTCTACCAGCTCCCCCTGTTGCCGGTATGCCTGGTTTGGGTGGAGGTATGCCTGTGCCGGGTATGGGTGGAGGTATGCCAATGCCAGGAATGCCGGGCATGCCAGGTATGCCGGGTATGTCAGGCTACGGCATGCCCTCAATGAGCGCTTTTTAAACTTCGCTGAAGCTTTGTACATGCACAAGCGAAGACATTTGTGCGAGCGGGTAGCCCAAAGAATGCCAAGTGGGCCATTTGGCTTGAAAGAGCTGAGACATTTGTTGCACATCCTTTGATAGTTGGAGCATGCCTTCTAGTCACTGCGTGTCTTACAATAAGTATGTCGGATGCATCAATTCTTCTGTTGACTCTAGTCGGGTTAGTCATGTACAAGTGAACAAGAGAGATCCTCGAAAGTGTCTACATTCGTATCATCCTGCCACAAGGTCTCCAAGACGGTGATGCCAGGGGCTATGGTAGACAGTATTCGTTTTTCTGATACACCAGGAAAGGTCAGATCATTTTCGTATCCTTGTCCATTTCCTTGTGGATCTTACTGCACGTACATAGATTAGTGAACGTTGCAGCAGTCTTTTTTCTTGGAGTAGAGAGATTTGGCCTTCTTGTAGCAGTATCTGCAGTTGGACCTCAGCCCTCTTGGGCTTGGTATCTTCTTGTGCAGAGGGCTCTGCAGTAAAATTGTTTTGGTTGGTATAAATTATGCACACGGTTGATACCCCTGTTAAGGACTGCATTGTATGTGTTTGTATGATTCGTTCCGCATCTTTTTGTGCATAGTTTGGACACCAACCTCGCTGGAATGTTTTTGAAGATTCGGCATGATCCTGGTATTCCCGGAGAGATCCTTGTCAAATGATTATGCCCTGAATGCTGCAGAGACTCAAATTTAGTGCCGAAGCTTGGTTGATAAGCAACTTATGTTTCACAGGTAACAGCAAATTATGCATGCAAATTTTGTCGAGGTTTTGAGAGGTGGACTGCACTTTTGTTGGACACACAATGTTGAATTAATGCGAGTTTGAGCTTTCGGGTCTAGATTCTTCGTCCAGTTGTTTTAGTAAACTCACATCGAATGGCATTGAGTTCGGAAGCCCACAGCTTTGATTGACGAATCTTGAATACGGTTAAACGTTAATTTTTGTGAAAAGAATTTCTTGTCAGAATCGTCCACAGGCACTGACGCAAAGAACGTGATCTGTGACGCATTGGAGAGGGAAAAACGTTTTAGTGCATTTGCAGTACACTGCACTCCGTCTGTTGCTTCCAGTTTTACTTGATGCCTGGTCGCAAAACTTGTGCACAGATTCAAAAATCGTCAGGCACCAATGACTCAGTCAAGGGCAGTTACCATGCGGTTCGACGCTATCGAGATGGCCGTTAAGACATCATGCACCCACTGCCTTGGTCCCTAGTTAGTCAAATTTGCGCCGCAAGAGTGTTTGTTTAAGCTAACAATGAAACAAAACGAAAGACACGTGACTTAACTCGAACCTGGTAACGTAATAGACAGTCCTAAACTCCAGCGATCAGCATCTATTTTTTGCACCAAGACTTTCATGCGATGCCAGTTAAGAGTGCAGAGGATCTTTATTTTCATCGATGGGCAGTCAGTTTGTGCACAACGAAGTTGCTCCAAGCATAGAAAGCAACTGCAAATTCCATATCAATCTTGAAAGGGTGAGGGTGGAGATGTGGGGATTGAAACCTCCAATCTTACAAGATCCATAAGCCATTGTATAGCAAAAAAAATTCATAAAAAGAAAAACAAGATGCAAATTGCAATATTGGGGGGGCCTCCAAATGTTACATGCCTTCGAAGGAGACAAATGTGTGATGAAGGGCCATGGGGATTAATACTGGAGAAAGAGATTTCTCGCTTCTTGTGGAGGAGGTTCACTATGTGGCCAATCTTTATAATGCCCCATTAGTTTTCAAGAATAGAAAGGAAAGGTAGATTAAAAGAGAGAAACTAAGAGAGGTGGTGATGCCCACCATTACGTTGTATGATTTCTTTGCCATGGTCAATGTTGGGGTGGCAAAGTGGCTTAACCAGGTTGAGGCGCTGGAAGACCTTTGGACCAATGTTATAGTTTTATTGAATTTTTTTTTGGAGTTCCAATTTTTTTATCATTAATAAAATAAAATCATCAAAATTCATGTCGATATTATCTATACCAATCGAATATGCAAAAAAAGAAAGTTTGTTACTGTTTTAATCTTAATTATCATAATTTTGTATCCATAATACATCCTCAGTATAACGACAGAACCAAAAATAACTCGTTTCTCAGAGCAGCACAGAGCATGATAAGAGTGGCTCATTTCAGTGAAGTGCTCTTGCTGCTCATAATGTTGGCGTCAAATCAGACATAAGCTCTTAAGTTGTTCACAAAAAGAAAAGCACAAATCCAACTTCGGATCTCAAACTATAAACTAACATCCAACCATGTTAATACTAAATTAATGCACATTTCGTGGTGCATAAGCTTGCATCAATACTAATTGATTCCGACAATGTGTACCCCAAATGAGACAATTGTGAGCACAACTGGCAACATACTCTTCTCTCCTATCAATGGATCTGCTGGAACCAGCATTTCTAATATCAACTATTGTAAGGAAATGGAAGCTAAGTTTGCTGGCTATCCAAAAATTCCACCAAGAACCTAGACCCTGGGTGGGTTAATTACTCTACCAGGGTGTATGATCTAATGTGCTGGCGCTTCTTCTGCATCAGCTTGAGTCGACCACAAAAACCATCTAAGTATCTAACCACCACTAAACACCTTGAGAGAGAGACTCACCTCATGATGGAAAGTAGAGAAAGGCGCAGGCTGGATACTCATAAATCCACAGCACTCTACCGCCTGATTTTTCCACCAAAAATTTCATCATCAGTCCACATGCGGTCAGAAGTCGGCATGACATTTGACTTGGGTTCACAGCCTGCCTTCCGCATGAGGTCGAGGATCCTGTCCACTTCAGCCTCGTTGTTATTTGCCTCATAAGCATCAATCATGTATTGAAAAGTTTCAAAGGAAGGCGGGCAAGACGCATCCATCATTTCACGGAATACTTGCTCCATCCTGTCGAGGTGACCTCCCTTCCCGTACTCTGAAATGAGGATGTTGTAAATGGATGACTGGAGTATCCAGCCTGCGCCCTTCACTACTTCCATGGTCTTTGCGAGGCGGCCGTATTCGCCAGCTCTGGAGTACGCCATAATCAACGCATGCAAGGACTTGGGAGATGAAAACATTCGCTTATTCTGAAACATACGTGAAATCGCAGCTTCCATCTCGTCCAGCTTGTTAGCGTCTGCATAGCTCTCGATTACCATACTGTGTACTCGAGACCCGTACTGAACACCTGTATTACATTCATATACAAAAAGGTATGAACAAAAAATTACAAAGTGAGCACTAATATAGTACCAACGTTTTGTTGCTTTCAATAATTGAAATGCAAAGTCCAAACACTCTGGTAAAGAAAAGACTAAATTATAGTAATAGTAACCAATGATGTGAGTTACCTGGAGTGACATCCATAATCTTCAATGCATTTTCCATCTTCTCAAAGTGCTTCGTGCGACTGTAGACTTCAATAAGTATTTCTCCAACCATGGCATTGATGGGAATTCCGGCCGCTTGCATACTTGAAAAGACAGCCTCCATTTTGTTAACTGCATTTGCTCGTGCATAGCCAATAATCTGAGCGTTGTACGTGATTACATCAGCTTTGCATTCGCCAGCCTGCAACTCGTTGAAAGTCTCTTCCATCTGACTCAGTTGCCCAGCCCGCATGTAACCCCAGATAAGAGCATTGTAAGTGTGCCTATCAGGGCTAAACCCCGCCTCCTTACAGTCCAGAAAAAGCTTCTTCATCTCCTCCGTTGCACCCATTCGGCTGTACATTGAAATTAGGGTATTGTAGGTCACTAGCGTCGGCTGACAATCGTTGGTGGCTTTCATATCCTCGAACAGCTGAAGTGCCTTGTGAGCTTCGTTGTTGCGACCGTAGGAATGTATAAGTGCATTAAAGCTCACTGCTGTTTTCTTTATACCCCGTTTTTCCATCTCATCAAACAAGTCAGCAGCTAGCTGAGGCTGACTTATCCTGCCTGCAAATGAGATCATCTTCGCATACTCCTTTGGATTTGCCTCCCATCCCAGCTTGCTCTTCTTCCAATTGAAAACCTGTCACTTGTGCGAGCAACTCTTGTTCAATACAGAAGTCTTCATGCCAATGGCCACTATGCAGACAAATGACTCGTCAACAGCATTATGAAAATCCACTTAATCCAAAGCCTTTGACAACGAGGTAGCCAGTGATGTTCTAACCTCCATTGCAATATGAGGTTTGGGTCCTTTTTGAAGCGCGTCTAGAAGAGGCAGCCATGGCCAACTATTGGGCCTTAAGAGCTCTTCAGATCGCTGTTCCAGTATCTCCGCCACTTCTGCATTAGATTGTGAAGACTCCAACGACTTCACAAGGGCTGCTATCACAGAATTCGTTCTCGACCGAGCAAACTTGTCGCCTCCTTTTCTTCTAAACAGGACCCTCTGTGGTTCTTTGTTCGTTGGGTACAACGCATTAAAGGAATCTCCCTCTGAAAACAAAAATTAAAATCCAAAAAAGCCAAGAAAGTGATTACTTTTCAACTTCTTGACTCTTCTTTTTCCTCCTTTTCTTCTTCAACTTGTACTCTCTCTCTCTCTCTCTCTCTCTCTCGCTGTGTGTGTGCAACGTTTTATGTAAAGGAGCAATATCTGAAATTATGGAACCTTATTGCTCCCCTATGCGAAATAAGTACAAATCAACGGCAAATAGGTTTGGAGAGAGTAATGAAATAATACCTTGAACATCTGGTGGACTTGCAGGACCAGCCTCAGCCAAGGTCGACATATGGGCAGAGCTGCCTCGGACGAAATCCAGACATGATATAGGGTAATCGAGGTGCGGAGCGTAGGCAGCCTTATTCTTCGATTCATTAGCTCTGAAACCAGTTTTACTTCCTTCCCCAGTGTGGATTTCTCTTCTAATAGATTCTTCAACTTGAATCGATGCAGCGGAAAAAACCCCCTGAGACGTTGAGCAAGGAGTCGCATTCAAACACAATCGACCAAGAGAGCGCAGCAAAGGGTTCAACTGGTTGCCTCCTCTCATTCTGGACAGCACTCCTCCTTACACTCTAATTACGAGCTTCTTTCTCCGTAAATTGCGAAGAAATCGATCGCACTATTGAACTGATTTGAAATCTGCAATGCCCTAGCCAGTCCCTTGCACTTGCAGTTTAGCGCTCTTCCGAAACTGATAAAAATGAAACATTCAGCCCTTTAGTAGGACTGAAGGTTCAATTTGCTTTGAGATGTGCGCAAAGTATTGAATAAATTTGTGAAAATAGATCCAGTGTAAAAGGTTACTGTCACTAAACCCTAAACCTTCAACTACAGATAATGATCAAATCGAAGTTAGAATCAAACGACAAAAAAATCTCTTATACATCCACTTCGTGCCTTCATAGAATTCTCTTGGAATATTCCTGGTCTACCAATTCCTGCTCAGCAATTGCAGTACACAAATTAATAAGTAAAAGCACCGTGGCTCATTCGAAATTTGAAGAGGAGACGCAACTGAACTCAGACACATCCTAACAACTCACACTGTCATATTTGAACCCATTTTTAACAATTTTAGATTTGAAGACGAACAAGGGATTCAACTTGATTAAAGAGCTTCAACACCAAGAATGTTTCAAGACCAGCTACGATCTGCGTGATGATAAGAATAACTAATCTTACGATCACTAACCATCAGGCATATCTCGCCAATCACATGGACGGATAGCCCTCGGATGGCACCAAAAGACCAGGTTCGAACGATCTAGCCTAGACCCACTTTCAAAGGAACACTAGCGGCAAGACCCCACCTCCACGCGATCTGCAACGGCGCAGCGGTGACTGGAAGACGAGACCAGGGGGTTAGAAAAATTAGGGCTTAGTGGCCTCTCTCCATATATCACAGAGGCTCCTAGGAAGTTCCCAGGAAGTTTCCAACACCCAGAAGGCTCCAGTGGTGCCGCAACAAAGTGGGTCAACATAACCTTCCCAAAGCCAATCCTGGTTTATATCAGACTAGACTGCAGATTTCACATTTGTAATGGTAAGTCTTCGATGAGTTCAATTACATAGATATTTATGCACCAACGAGAAGCCGTTTGGAGCTACCTCGGTTAACAAACAGTGCCGAAGTGATGCTTGATTCATAGCATAACACCCCGAAAATGGGTCGAAGATGCATTACAACAATTCCAGCAAGCGTATAAGCATCAAGCCATCACTGTGGAACACATTTAATGAGCTAAACCCCACAGCAAAAGTTTTTACTTTACCAAGGCCGGTGTATATCCTCGCTAACTTAGTGTTCCATTAAACAGACAGTGAAATTTGCAGTGCATGGAGAGAACTGGAAGGAAGGCGATCATAGGAAGCAGCTTTTGAGAGGAAAGAAAAATAAACTTCTAGATCATGTATAAAATTGAAAGTTATTTGCGTTTGCCAAAACGTCTGCTCCGGTTTTGGTATGTCAGCAGGGCTTCTTTAAATTGAGCAACCCCAAAATCTGGCCATAAAGAATCTACAAAATAAAATTCTGTGTACGCTGATTGCCAAAGAAGGAAATTACTAATCCGCTGCTCTTCGCTGGTCCGTATCAATAAATCTGGGTCGCGCTCTTCACCTAGCCAACTTGTCTTCAACTCTTCCTCAAACATAGTCTCGGTTATATCCGAGGAGCTTAGCTCTCCAGCTTCCACTTTGGCCGCCAACCTCTGGCAGGCATTAGCAATGTCGTTGCGACCACTGTAGCTCAGCGCTATGCAAAACTTGAGGCCAGTATTATTTTTTGTTCGCTCATCCAGTGCTGAGACTAAGTTCTTCAATGAATCAGGTAACAGCGTCAAATCCCCCATGCAGTGTACGCGGACGTTTTCTCTATTACACCTCAAAAACCCACAAAATCAGACCCAATGAAGCACACTACGACTAGAAAATTAGGTTTGTACGAAATCTTCTAATTGCTTAAGTGAGAAATCATATGAAATGCAATCCTCTAAAATCACTTACTTAGCTAAACTGCTCAGCTCGTCCTTTAAAACATTCTCGAACAATAACATTAAAAAGTCGACCTCCGCCTGCAACAATATCCCACAAATAGAATCAATCCGAATAATTCTCAAAATGCCAAATAAAATTCCAGAATCTAAGCCATCAAACTTCACTTCAAAAAAAGGCTGGCTACGTAGGGATGAAAGGAGACTTTACCTTGGGTCTCAACCAATTCTCGGTGGAGAAAGCAAACACAGATAGAACTTTGATGCCCCACGTATTAGCTAACTTGACGACTTCCTTCAGTGAACGTACCCCGGCTTCATGGCCCATGCTTGCAGGCAATCCTCTTCGCTCAGCCCATCTTGAATTGCCATCCATAATGATGGCAACGTGCTTCGGTATCTTAGACACATCAAGCTCCTCTGGCAGCTGAGGTGCCTCATTAGCGTCATTTGGCATCTGCCAGGAAGATTTTCATTTTGTAAAGATGTCATTCAGTGTGACGTAAATGCCTAAGTGTAAAATATGAACAAACTGGATAGGTTCACGAGTTGTGGTTGAATTGCTCATGCAGGCGGCTCATCGCGAATCCCAAATGGAGCTTCGCATGCACGACACATTCGATAATGAAATCACCCCGAAGGTTTTAAGCGCCGAATTCATGGGCCTGCCATGTAATGATCGCTGTAAACAAAGAAGGAAAGAGCCCAAAATATAACCCAGAGTAGTTGCCGAACCTCCGTTATTCAGTGTACCCTAAGAACTGCCTCTCATAAGCTTTAAGGATTAGCAGACGCCGACATATCTCACGGTGGCGAGATTTCATTTTTTATATTTAAATGCAGCAGCCTATTTTTGTTAAAGAAGTGATGGTAATCAACCAAGCTGTCACAATGTAGTAATCCTACCTCTATCTCCAGCAAGGAAATAATGCACGCCCCGTGATTAAGCATTTTCTAAATGAAAGATACAGGGAGTGCAATTCAAGAGAAGCCGATAATAGACAAACTGCAGGAGCCCGGCCATTACCTAGCTTACCCTCTTGATCAGGAGGGCAAGCTGGACAGTATAAAGAAAATCCAAACCTGCTCGAGATACCGCCAGCCGAGTGCACGGTCTCGCTGATTGGAGCCTGCAAGCTCTCGACAAGGTAACCCTAGAGAAAGCCTAAGAAACGTGTAGGGAGATCGCTACCCTAAAATTTGTGACTCGAGCCGTGATCTCGCATCGAGTATCGAACTATTCAGAGTCGATCCACCACCGACTGTTTTAATTTGAATCATGCAATAACTTTATGCGCAAAGAAACTCCATCAGTGTAGATAATCAGAGCGGAATATCACGCACCTGGGCCATCGAACAGGAAATCTCACGATTGAGATATGATTCGCGCACATCCGCATGCATCATGGATTCAATAGGTGCCAGGCCGCCGATGGACGCCGAGAACGATAGGTTCAACGAGACAGAGGGGACCCCAACACCGGCGCAAGGACTGCTGGTGCTCACACACCCAGAAATGAAACTCTCAATCCCTGCCACACCATCAGTACTACAACAGCGTATGGCAGCCCAATTCGCCAGTAATCCATACCCTGCACTACAAAGTGGGTGACAATGCAACCAAGTCCTCAACGACACGAAGCTCCACGGAGGCCACGAATCGGAAGAGTGGGGAGCATTGTGCAGCGCAGAGGAAAACCCAGTAAACGAAGATGAGTGGCCTACCAACACAGAAGACTGAGCTGGAGATGGAGGTGAAGATGATAAAGAGACAGGACGGGAAAAAAACGGGTGAGAGGCAAAGAGCATGCTGACAAAGAAGCTGCGAGCAAGTCAGGTTGAGATACAAATGAACACGAGCTGACGTCTCCCGCTCTGGTTGCTCGCAAGGTCAAACCGTGTTTCTTCGCATGTGCTTCCTGGCTGTTCTCAGTACTACCATTCTATGTATGAATGATTCTTTGCATAATCTGCACAACGATACATGGCAATGCTCCGGTCGCAGTGCTTGCACACATGTAAGCAAGCTATCATTTAGACGATAGAGGGGTCGGGAGTAGGAGATCAAAATTGGAAGACTAAAAGTAAGTCGAACTTGGGTTACCTTAAGATCTCCCCGTTCCGACAAATCATCGTCCTCCCGGAGGAGAAACCACGTGGTGGCCAAGTCACGGTGATCAAGTTGACACTGTGTCTTGTCTTTCTTTTCTTTTCTTATTCTTTAAGGGAAAAAAAGTTATGAGTTAGAAAAGTTTATGAAGCTTTCCCACGAAGATGAAGATACAGTACCGTGCAGGCGGCGGGTTGTTTTGGAGAGTAGATGGTAGATGGCGGCTGAGGGTTTAGCGAGGGAGGAGGGTTGGTCTGATATTTTCGGAACTCGCCGCCAGTCTCTGGGGTAGAGGAAACAATATGGTCGGAGTTTTGTGAGAGAACAGGGTGGTTATTAAGGAGTTGGCTTGGGGGCCGACACCTTGCGGAATTAGGTCGAAATTTTGGTGTAGTTGGGGCGGAGTTTTGGTGAGGAGGGCACAATGGATTTGGCGATGGGGGAAAACGATGACATGTGCACGGTGCTCATGGCGCGGTTCGGAAATTCTCAGAGCCCGGAGCACAAGCATTTGTGTGCGGTGGTGCAGGCTATGGCGGAGGTTTTGCAAGAACAGTCGCTGGAACCTACTCCGACCGCCTACTTTGCGGCCACCATGAGCTGTTTGGATCGCCAAGCTGCTAATACAGCAGTTCGGAACGAGGCTGTTACCACTGCCTTGTGTACGTTCCTGGCTATGGTGCTACACAAGGTACCTGCCTCGGTGTTGAGATCGAAAGGGGATGCGGCTTTGAAGTTATTGGTAGGATTATTGACGGCGAGTTCCGAGAACGCTAGCACCGTGAAAGCCGTGTTGTCTTGCCTGGAGATTGTGATTTGCGGCGCCGACACTTCAAACTGGCACATGGTCGCTCCCGCATTCAATTATCTTCTTCGGTTCTGCACGGATCAACGCCCCAAGGTTCGCAAGAGGGCGCAGTTGTGTATGATAGGGGTGCTCTCTAGTCTTCAAGGTAAGCAAGCCCTAGGAACAGCAAGCGAAGTTGTATTCAATCTCTTCGAGCAATCCCTGAATACCGTTTCGAAATCCCTGTCTGGAAACCCTTCAAACACTCCTACTGGCGCTGTTGAAGTTTTACATATGCTCGGCGCTCTAAAGCAATTGCTGCCTCTCTTAGCGGTTAAATTCATTGGGCGCATCCTCCCCCATTTAGCTCAACTGTATGAGCTTCAGCAACCCATCGTAACACGAAATGTTCTGGATACACTCCAAGCCTTGTGTACAAATCCCACTGCTGAGATGCCAAGTGCAGCATTAGGGGAAATTTTAGGTCGGTTGGGGGCTCTCCTCGCCAGCGGAGAGAAGCGCAGTTCAGTAGACGAGGTCACCGTAGTTACTCGCATATTGCAACACGGTTTTGAGAAGCTATGCAAATCGGACAGGAGCTTGTGTATCACGAAGCTGCCAGCTGTGTTTCATTCTTTAACCGGACTTTTGGCATCAGAACAAGAGGAGGTGGTGTTCGCCGCAGCCGAGAGTATGCGTAACCTAATTGGGAGTTGCATTGACGAAGCCATGATCCAGCACGGGGTTACCCAGCTCCAGTTGCACTCTGAACAGCAGAAGCGGAAGGGGGCCTTGTCACCGATTGAAAGGATATGTGTGAGTGTGGAGAGCTCTCTGGGGTATCAATACAGTACTGCGTGGGACATGTCCCTACATGTTGTGGCCGCATTGTTCGATAAATTGGGAGAGGCTTCGTCTATCTTGATGGCAAGCACGGTGAGAACGTTGGGTGATCTTCAGAATTTGCCCGATGAGGATATGCCTTGCCGGAAGCAGCTGCACAACACGCTTGGATCAGCAGTGTCTGCCATGGGCCCGCAGAATTTTTTGGCAATTCTTCCGCTGGAGATGGATGGGGAGAAACTCACAGACTCCAGGGTTTGGCTTCTTCCTATTCTGAAGCAACATATTGTGGGAACACACCTCAGGTTTTTCCAAGAGTCGCTTCTTCCGTTGGCCACTCGATTGCGCGAGAGAGCCCGCAAGTGTGCTGCAGATGGCAAGCCTGTGGCGTCCAAAAATGCGGAGTCGTGCGTTCAGTCCATCTGGGCACTTCTCCCCTCTTTATGCAACTATCCATCTGACACTGCCAAGGGCTTTGGCCTCATTGCGAAAACGCTGGGAGACGTTCTCACCAAAGAGCCGGAGTTGAGGGGCCTCGTTTGCTCCAGCTTGAAGATCTTGGTGTCTCAGAACAGGAAGGCGAGGGGAGACGAGTTAGGCGACAAGATTGGGAGGAAGATCGCTGAGGAAGAAAGTTCAGAGTTAAGTGTTGCTGAACAACGAGCCAGAGCTCTGTACACACCTGAAGTCGCAGCTGCAAATCTGAAAGCCATTGCTGGATACTCTCGCAACTTCTTGCCTCTGTTATTCAATCTTTTCGTCGCGGCCCCTGCGGAGAAGCGTGGAGATTTGCAGATCACCATTGCAGCAATTGCATCCATTTCGGACCCGCAGACAGTGAAGAGTTTCTTTGTGGCAATCATGAAGAAGCTCCTGCAAGCCACAGTTGAGGCCAGTACTCCTGCTTCAGCGCCCGAGCCCGGCGCCATGCAAGTCGACGCTCCAAAGCCTGATGAGAGTCCAACATCACGTAGGTGTGTCTTTATGGATTTAGCCTTATCCCTGGTAGGTGGATTAGACGACGAGGCCTTGGGGATGCTGTTCTCCACAGCAAGGCCTGCGTTACAGGATACCGACGCCGCTGTCCAGAAGAAAGCTTACAAGGTGCTTTCTAGCATCTGCCAGGCCAATATGAGCTTCGTGGCTGGGAAGGCGGAGGAGCTGCTGGAGACTCTATTATCATCCTTGTCCAATGTGCATTCTTCTGCAAGAAGACATCGTCTGATATGCCTGCATTTCTTGATTCTTTATCTTCTGAAGAGTGAGTATGAAAAGAAGAACGAAGCTATAGCCACTTTGATCAGCGAAATCGTATTGGCCACAAAGGAGTCGAACAAGAAGACTCGCAATGCAGCCTACGATTTGCTCATAGAGATTGGTTATGGTATGCAGAACGAGGAGACTGGCGGCTCTCAAGAGCGTTTGATGCAGTTCTTTACAATGATAGTGGGTTGTCTTGCTGGCTCCACGCCCCACATGGTTAGCGCTGCAGTTGTGGCTCTGGCAAGGCTGCTTTATGAATTTTCAGCAGAGCTTTGTCATACTGTTCCAGATCTCTTGCCGTCTGCGTTGTTGCTGTTAAAAAGTCGGAATCGGGAGATTATTAAGTCAGTTTTAGGATTAGTGAAGGTGGTTATAGCTCGGCTGCCGGCAGTGGAGTTGGAGCAACATTTGCATAGTATGGTGGAGGGCTTGATACTTTGGTCAGACGATTCCAAGAACCACTTCAAGGCTAAGGTGCGAGCGATTATTGAGAGGCTTGTCCGAAGATGCGGGATGGACACTGTTGCGAAGGTTATGCCACAGGAGCATATGAAGCTGCTGACCAACATTCGCAAGACGAAGGAACAGAATGAGAGGAAGAAAAAATCTAATAATGTAGGAGAAGAGGAGGAGACGAAATCTCAGCAATCTCGGGCTAGCACTGCGAGGAAAAGTAAGTGGAATCATACGGATATGTTTTCTGATGACGACGATGATGATGAGCATGGGGACATGGATGGCAGCACGAAGGCCTCGACCATGGCTAAGACTAGCTTCTTTAACAAATCCGAAGGAACGACTAAGTCTAGGAAACTGCGGAAGTCAAACAAGAGGCTTCCAGAGGACTTGATGGATGTCGAGGGAGAGCCGCTCGATCTGCTTGACACGCGCAAGACGCGAGAGGTTTTACGAGGACCCAAGTCTCAGCACAAGAAGAATGACAGCGATGATGAATTGGAGTACACAACCGATGGTAAAATGATAGTGGATGAGAGCGGGGACAAGATTCGTGACAAGTTGAAGAGGAAGAAGCAGTGGGAGGAGGATCACCCTGAAGCTGCTGCAAGCCAAGCTGGCCGAAGCTCCCGACGTGGTGGTGGCGAAGGGTCGAGAAGTAAAGCAGAGATCAAGCCAAGGAAGGCGAGGAAAGTAAACAATGAAAGTAAGAGCTGGGCTTACACGGGAGATGAGTATGCTAGCAAGAAGAGCAAAGCGGTGGGTGACGTGAAGAAGGAGGGCAAGTTAGATCCATACGCCTACTGGCCTCTTGATCCTAAGATTTTGAACAGGCGGGAGGCAAAAAGAAATGCAGCGAGGAAGGGCATGGGTAGCGTGATGAAATCGGCGAAGAAGATGCAGGGCATGAGCTCTAAGGAGGCATTGGCCACAAAACCTTCGAAATCAAAGAAGCAGAAAGCTCACAAGGGTTAGAGTACAGCGAAGTAGGATTATGTAACAAGCAGTGGTTGAGACAAACCCACATCTCGAGATATATGTGTATTCGTTTGTAGAATGATTTAGCCCATTAGGTCTTTTGCTACAAGTGAGGATGACATTTGATGTCATTTGCTTGTTGAGTCTAGTTCAAACCCACAAGAACGTGGAGATAGCGATTTTGAGAGATTCGTGTCGGTTATAGCAGCAAAGTTTTAATGAAACGGTCTAGTTTGGTAGCTCCGACTGCTTGGATTCTGTGTGTGAACGTCTCCTGATTCGACAATGAGTCCTGTAGACACCTTATGGGTGCAATTCCTGTATTCATTCTGCAGAAATCTCTGGGCCTTAATCAGGTTCACGGCATCGTTCTGCACACGTCGATGTTACACGCATCGATAGCTTGGGGTATACAGTTTGGTAGCTGCAAGATACAAAGACCAGGGTGAGCATGGCAGGCAATTAATTCAGCTCTAATGATGCAAGCATGCAGAAAATTCTGGAAGAGCTAGTCAGTCAAACCGCTATAGAGTAGGACAGGCTTAGGGGTTTAGCATTTGTGAAGTCCTGTATGAAGGAGCTTCCTGATAAAAAAAAGCACTTGGCTTATCAAATCAAAAAATGTACTGGAAGAGTTACTCAAACAATTTTACAAGAGTGTTTGTGGTGTTGAGTCGCATGTGATCTGACTAGGCTCATAAATAGCAAATAATAGTACTGTGTAACAAACACATAGTGGCAACTCATTAGAAGTAAAAACGAAAAAGAACAAGTAAAGAAAATGAGTTTGCTTCTCCCCGTTGTTTCCCCTTCATTTTTCTCCCGAAGGCAACTAAAAGTGATCTAATATTAGTGAATGTAGGATCTTAATTTGCCCTAAAAGTGTCCAATTCATTTGAACGAGAGTCAATTCCAAGAGTTGCTCTTCCGCTTGCTCGCAGTGGTAAAATGCATGGTATCCGCCCACAACTACAGATTCTCAAGGACTTCCTATTACACGGGTATAAATGTGGGTGTCAACTGGGAATCGTGAATGATGCAGGGTATCAGAAGCGATGCCCGAATGCTTGACCGCAGATAGCCCTAGCGGGCACTCTCTCGCTTGAGTTATGCGTTTGCAGCATCACCATCGCCATTTCACCTGGTGCTGTGTGTTTTCTGTGGGGTGCGTGAGGTCTTGAGGAAGCGCTTTACAATGGCGGGGTTGATAAAAAACCTTCGGGTGACGAAGACAGGACCCGGGTCTGGATCGCTGGGGGAAGCACAGCAGCGAGCGACGGATTTCTTCCGGGAGTCTTGCAGGGCGCTGCCATCGATCATGGAGCGGTACAATTTGTACGACGTAATCACCCTGTCGGATCTGCGGTCCAAGATTGCCTTCGAGTTCCGGAAGCATCATCACAACACCAATCCCAAGGTGTGTGAACGCCTTGATTTTCCTCGTTGTGATATTTGCGTGATTCTGCGTAACATGCTTACATTTTACTTTTAGCGCTGAATCTGATGGACCTCTGCGGCGACAGAACCCACATTGCAAAATTTGTGCATATGAAGAGGAGAGATGCTTTATGTTGGCTGTGCAGGTGATTGACATGTTAGTGTTTAAGGGACGAGAGGAACTTCAGTACTGCGTTGACCATTCCAAGCAGCGGCACCATTTGCTGTCGCAGTACATCGTCGGAAGGGAGGGTTTAACCGGGGACGTGCTGAAGCTTGGGGAGGCATTTAAGGGAGAATCTGATTTTTTGAAGAATTTCTATCGAGGGAACAACTGAGAATTTTAGTCTCACTCTGGTCTGGATTTTCATTCCATTTTTTTAAAATTGTGTTCCTTATCGTCTTGGTACCGTAGAATCATGAAGAAGTTTCAAACCCTACGAAAAACCCCACACTGTTCCAGTAGTTACAGGTTTTGAAAGGCTCTGAAACTGGCAATGATTTTTTTGTAGTATTCATTGAATGGTATTTTTTTGCACATACAGATTAGGTCCTGCAATAAGAAAATGACATGGCAGAGTGACAAGAGGATGAGATGATGATGTAATACAATTGGAAGTGGAAGATGAACTTTTGTAGCGTTAATGGAGTATTAGTCTGATGACGGTGATTCAAGTTTATCAGTGAATGGTTCTTCTTCTGTGCAGTAGTAGGATTCTCAATACGTCAATCTTGTACAAACAATCCTAGTGTTAAAGTACCAACTTCCTCTGTGTTTTGTTTGAAGATTCCAACATCGAAGTAGATTTGTTTAGTCTTCCATCTATCGTTCAAGTTGTTTGAGATAGTTGTAAATATGATGTGGATGCAGTTAAGGATGTAATAACTTCAAAATTTAGCTTTTGCAAAATGTTGATAAGTTGCTTGGAAAAGATCAATGAAACTTTGTTTGTATCTGAAAGTGCATTATAGATTATGTTAATTTTTGCTCAAATAATAATATTAATAACAACTCGTGTGATGAATGAAAATAAAATAGAAAGCGTCCAGTTTAACATGTACCGACAAAGGATGAAAATGAACACGATGATTCTTATCATGAGTATCCAATACGAACGACGATGGTCTATGTATACCCGGATCATGCCCTTCACCGTCCCAATACCCCGTTCGCAGGGTATGAAGAGGGTATAAACATCAATGTCGCAAGACGTCGTGGGCCCGGGTGTTGTCCCGGCCTCTTATCTTTTAGGGGAGGCCGCGGCGGTGCGCGGCTTGTGATTCATTTCATTCTTCCTCGTCGCGTGGGAGAATCAAAGAACAATGTGTCGCAATCCAGTTTGACGATGGATTCGATTGCCTCTACCTCCTGTTTTCCTCGTTTCGGCTATCCGACCAAGGAACCCTCGAATCACGAATTGAATTTTCCAGCTGGGGTAGCGGGTTGAATGCGTCTCGGAATGGTTGTAGGTGGTGTTCCCGAGAGATGCAAATGTGCTTTGTAGCCTAGTATTTGTTGGCGATTTGGACTCTCTCTGGAGTGCAATTACTGAATTTCTGTTTCTTAGCTTGAAGATCTCTGGGTCTTTACCAGGGTTTTAGAAGTTTTTGGAGCTTTGCACATTTGTTGGATGGTTGGATGTGTGTTAGCGCGGCACAATGCCACTAGGAAAGGCTTGGAGAAACGTTGTGGTGGGAAGAAATGGGTACGGTCTCGAGCTGCTGAGAGAATTGCGTCGTAGTTATGGCTGTAGTTCAATCGGGCCGCACGAATCTAGACGTGCTCGGTGTTACGAGGGCAAAGGAGAAAACGAGGGTGGCTCTTTGGGCGAAGTCCATGGAGTTCATGTCTTCCAATGTGCTGTAAGTTATTTCACTCCTCAATTTTTCGTTCTCGGTCCCTGGAGTTCCCTCTTCTTCTTGTGAGCTTTGTCTTGTTTGTGATCGCAAACTCCTCTTTCACATGTTACATTAACGTGTGCAGAGTGTGCATTCTAACGAGTCTCTGTCTTTGTAATTGCCATTGTTGCATTCTTTCTGATCAGCTGCGCACGTGGAGACTTCTCCTCCGCGATCGCAGTTGCGAGTGTTAAGATTATCTGCATGGGCATTGTCAGAGCGAATTGGTTGGTTGCGTATGCTACGGGTCACACCCAAACCTAGCGAATAACATGTCTTTGGTGTGTTCCAGGACCAGCTTGGGATTGTTGCTAGAATTTCAGAGTGTATTGCGTCACGTGGTGCGAATATTCTGAATGTAGATCTCTACATAGACTTCGATGACAAAAAGCAATCCCCAATCTTTTATGCACGAAGGTAAATTTTCTTGCGCTTACAAGCACCAATCTCTTTGTGCTTTCGAAGTAAATGGATTTTTCGGATAAATGTTAATACTTCTGGCAGTGAACAGGATGCGAGTGTTTGATTTAATCCTCCTCTGACATGGGCTCACAATTGTTTTCAGTGAATTTGCATTTGATCCATTGAAGTGGCCTCGTACTGTCATGGACGAGGACTTCGCAGTATTGGCAGACCACTTTAAGGCTGAGAAGTCAATAGTTCGGGTGCCGGGGAGTGACAGGGACTTGAAATTGGCCGTCCTTGCGTCATGGCAGGTGTGCGAGTAGAACAAGACAGATTCCTTTTCCTGCGTGCATCCAAAGGGGACTGAAGCTCAGAAGTCAGGGTGTTGAACTGGGTGTGTAGGATCATTGCTTGATTGATTTATTGCACCGATGGCAAGAGAGGGAGCTGCCAGTTGATCTAACATGTGTTATAAGGTTGGTTGTCGTCAGTTCAAAAATTCTTTTTCAACTCCATGGGTACTGCATTACTTATGTGAAAATAAAAAAAACATAAACTATTGGCGTTTGCTACCGCGTTGGAGGTCATAGAATATTTTCGTTGGCTAGTGCATTGTTTCTAACGCAATGTCAATTTTTGTTAGACTGCTATTAATTTCCTATAATTCTATGACCTTTCAGGATTTGTTCTTTAAAAGTAGACCAGCGTGCCGTTAGCTTACCACTTCCTGACCTGCAGCATGGGCGTGAGAAGGCTAACATGAAAATGCTCTACTTTGCAGCAATCATAACCGTGGGTTGAACACTCACGTCTCGCGATTCCTTGAGAGGCATGGAATACCATATCATTATCTCCCCACAAGCAAAGGAAATAAGCGTGAAGAGGAGATACTTGAGTTAATCTCAGGGACGGATTTTTTGGTACTTGCTCGCTACATGCAGGTACTTTTTCACCGTCTTTAGTTTTTTGCAACACGTTATTGCACAACTTGGAGAATTAGGTGTCCAAGGCCTATGCTAGCGTGGTTTGGCTTTGCACCCTGCTGCCAATGCACGAGGCATATGGTTATAAATAGGTGATTAGTAACGTTGGTTAGCAACCTCTGATTCCTCTTATTGTGTGCATTCTTCATTTACCACTTTCAGAAATGTAAACCATGGTCAAAGACACTGGCTTTGTGATCCTTGTTCCGTATGGTGTTTCAAAAGGGTTTGATTCCTCCCATCCAAGACCTCACACGTTAGTGACATATTTTGATTTTGGAAGATATGATTTCTCGTCTTAAATTTTAATCATCGAGTGCTGTACCTTTGGGCAACTGTAATTAAAAAACTTTTTTTAAACTGGAGCATTAACGCTGGTCGTTTATTGAAGTATCCTTACATTTCTTTAATTGCTTTTACAGCTTGTAGCTGATTTGTTTATGGCTTTCTTGGACAGGTATTGTCACCAGAATTTCTCAGGTGTTATAAGAAGGATATTATCAATATTCATCATGGACTCTTGCCTTCGTTTAAGGGAGCAAACCCTTACCGACAGGTTGGTTGTTATGTTTTAATTTTTGATTCTTTTGTAATTTTTGTTATGTATGGGAAGAAATCGTCTTGAAATTCTCTATTATCAACTAAACGTTTCCTGGATATAGGTTAACTGAGAAGAGGGTTTGTTGAGGTTACAGTAACGTAGTGGTGAGCCTAGGTGATAGAGACTGTTCTCGTTGAGCCGGAGTTGAAATTTTTATGAGTGTTTATTGTTCTTGAATCCCCCAACAGCTGATCGTGGGATCGGACATTGACGTAACAAATGCAGGCTTATGAATCTGGGGTGAAATTAATAGGTGCCACAAGCCATTTCGTTACTGAAGAGCTTGATGATGGTCCCATCATCGAACAAATGGTATGTCATCACGTCTTTTATCTACTCAGATACTGTATTATTGAAGCTCTTTTCTCCTGTTGCGCTTTTGTGATGTTTATCCTTCTAGAATCATGAGATATGCTGTCAGTTTACATTTTTTCGCAGAAAATCTACGTTTGGGGGCCTTGCAAATAGTCGAGACTAAAACTTTGAGTGACAGGTGGATCGAATATCTCATCGGGACAGTCTCCATGCGTTCGCTATAAGATCAGAGAATCTTGAGAAACAGTGCCTTGCTAAGGCAATCAAATATTACTGTGAGCACCGAATATTACGGTATAGCACGAACAAGACCATTGTATTCGGTTAGATTACGACGAGAAAAACTTCTACATACTTTTAGCAGTAATGTTTCCCACATCACAAGCAGATGTGCATGTCATTTGAGGTATTGCAGTTCTTTGGGACGAGTTATTGCTGTCAACATCCCTCGGAGAACCTTCATCAGGGTCGATCAACGAGGCTTCACGGCTTTTCAACAACAAATCAATTAATTTCATACCAGAATGCATCTGTGATGTATTTACACGACCAAGCTTTGAATGAAATTGGCTAATTTGTATCGATACGAGGATTTTATTGGCACAAGTTCTATTCCCCTAACATTACCGCACTCGTGAGCTGTGCACATTTTAGAGCTTTGCATTCGAATGATCTCGTTCGTCACACCGTCGCAATCAGTCAGCAACATGTCAAGAGCCTCAATAGGAAAAGCACGTTTCCGTCCACTAGGATCACCAAAGACATGACGTAATGCGTCGTTTCCAGCACAGCACCCACAGAAGAATTCTTCCCGCCTCTATCTGCCGCAACCAGCACGCTAGGTCCATAATGATGTAAGAGCAACACCAATCAAGACGGTGAATGTGTCCTACAAAGAAGTCCTGCGACTCTTATTATTATCACTATTCTCATTGTTAGTTCAGTATTTCATCTCATTGACAGCAGCATGGTAACCAATTATCTTTGAGGATTCTACTTACCAAAATTAGTGCGAGAAACTTCCTCATTTTAAACGAGAAAGTAATGGATTTTCGCACGGGAAGCTGAAATTGCAGGGCAGGATTTTTAGAACCAAATTGTAAGACAAGGAGCTGCAGATGATCGCCATGATCGAGTTGAGGCTTGCGAGAAAAAACAAGATGCTCCTGTCGGTCTCTTGGGGTAATTCTGTTCTTCCCTGATCCACCTCACGAGGAGGATTCGATCTTTTGGATGGAGTCAGGGCCGGCTATCGTATATGCAATACTTGGGACATAGCAAACACAATCTCCAGAATTCTCGACCACTGAGTATCATTAAAGAACCGATCATGGGGTGGAATCTCGATAGTGGTGACTTCGACCAGCATGTTCAATCTGCCAAAAGGAAACTCCGAGATCTAACCATCACCAGAGACTAGCTCGTTTATAGTGGCCAACGGGGATGCGCCGCCAGGAGAAGTATCGGGCGGAAACGAAATCCTCGACCACAACTCCTGCATCCAAATCGCAACAATTGACCAAACGCCGCATTCACGAACTACTCAAGCGGCAACAGAGGCGGCGGCAGCGGTGATGGAGCGGTACGTCGATCTAGAACAGGTAGTTGAGCTGATGCAACCCCGCAGTGCAAAACCCCACGGCACGCGAAATCAGTCGCCGACGAAGCGGAGAAAGCAATAACCCCCCCCCCCCCCCCGGACATCTTTGCATTATTTCTGCGGTTCAGTAGGGGTCCACCTATTAGAAGAATTATTGTGCGCCAGGGTGTGGGTGTGGGACGGGAGAGGATGCGGAGGTTGTTGGACCAGATGGGTGAGTGTCGGCAGGGGGTGTTGTCGCCAGACAGAATCATGTGCCGAGGCTGGCGGCATCAGCAGCAGCGGCATAAAGCACTTCTCCTCGCGTGATGAATCAGGTGCTTCGGCGATGGCCCTGACCACTACCCCCCCTAGTCCGTCCTTCTTGTACCCAATTGTGCATGATTGATCGTCTTTCGGAGCCCGCTTTGGGCGATGGTAATGTGGGTGGGTGAGTGAGTGAGTGGGTGGGGCCGGCGTGATTCCCGAGGCGTGGCTTCCCAGCAATTCTGCGACGAGCGTGCCCTTCCTTCGCAACAGTCTTCGCTCGTCGAGGAGCGGCGTGGCGATCGAAGGGGTTCTGCGTAGGGGGCCGGGAAGACCAAGGGATGGATGAATGTGTGGATGGATGGATATGTGAATGGAACTGACACTAGCTTTACATCCAAACCGTGTTGGATGCAATCGTGCCCATGGATGGATGAATGCGGGGCGAAGAGTTGCGTGATTGGATGGTTTTGCGGTGTATTGATTGTGGGGTTCCTCATCTACAATAGAATGGTTTTAAAAATTACCAAAAAATAAACAGTGAAAGATCATTCCTATTTGTTTTTGCGACGTGAGGGTTTGAAATGATGTACATGGTCAACTTCAAAAGTCTTCAATCTGAGGATCCGAAAGGTGATTTCATTATTTTTTTAAGGGTGTGTTTCTGTGTATTAAATATATATGGTATCATTCTTCTATTAATAGATATATCAACGAATTGAAAAGCTATGACAGTTACAATATCAGGATTATTTTTTAAAAGCGTGTTTCAAGAAGTGAGGATTTTAAAAAATCACGTATGTTTGGGACCGAAGTTGGTTTTTTCAAATGTGCATTATTTGAAAACACACATACATATTTATATATGAATATAAATGGATATAATTAAATACACTTCGAGACACAAAAAAAAAGAAAAAAAAGGAAAAAAAAGAAGTTAAATGGTGATTGTTGTGACATTCACTTTTATAAAGTAGAATATCTTAGTATATGTTTGAGTTTTTGTTACTTGTTACTAACTAAAATATAAAGATGAATGTTTTTTTTCTTTTGATATAAAACATATCATGTATTCAATGCACAATATCATTTAGAATCAACTGCTTAAAAAGCATTATGATTGCAACCATTTTTAATTGTATAAAACATTATTTACAAGTCATGTTCAACTAAAATACAAAATTTTATATTGACAACTGACCCAATTTTTTGAAATAAGGATGAGAAACCAAGAAAATAAGAAAGCTCTTTCTATAAATGAAGACACTTGCAGTGTGTGACTGCAATGAAAACACGACAAAGAAAAGAAAGAAAACATTGAAAACATTATGAACAAACATAGACAATTGATTGAAACAAGTCTGACATGGTTAGTTTTTTGTCACTTTAGAAATATCCTCTCAAATAAAGCAGTACTTTCAACAAACCCCAAAAGCTTGGAAACTTCTATTCACACTTTGCCATGATGGATTCCAATGTGATAGATTTTTTCCAGTCACCAAAACCATAACCATGACTTCACCCACACTCTTCAGCATCCCTAGACGACTATTTCTAGGTCTCAATCACTAGCAGCATGACACAAAAATCCTTGTACCAAATGCAACAAAACTGTACATGTGAACAAGTCCTTGCAAACACAGTGAAAGTGTGAGACCCACAAACGAATTCTTTGCTTTGAGCCTTCGTTCTCATTCTCGAGCTTTTCATTGCGCTACCAACGTGGACCAAGTCCACGAGAGCATCAGGAAAACGCTGAGTCAGGATCAAATCCCAAGGCCTAAAAAAAAAGGTGAGATAAATTACACGGAAAGGAAAAGAAAGGGTATTTTTGTGTAAACGTGGAGATTCGGAGTCATCACAACTGCATCAGGAAGAAGAAAAAAACACACACCAGTGCAAAATCTTCAAGGATCACTCACAAAATTCTAGCTTAAACCCCTAAGTAGCCCAGTCTATCATCTCACTGTGTGTTACGGTAAAGCTAATGCTTTTCCTGTGTCCATGATCACCAACTCCACCTGATCGATGTCGTCGTGCATGGTGAAATGCATCACGGACACAAGCTGGGGTCGTTCTCGCAGTTGGCGCTCGGGTCTATGTACTGATCTGCCAGCTCTCGCCGCACAAACTCCTCGAACTCTTGCTCGACTGATTCCAATTGCGCTGAAGATGGTAATCTGCCTCGGAGATAATACTCTTGTGGTGGACCTGCGGTTCGGTAGCAGATTTGTGAGAAGAGCTCAGTTTGACGGTCAATGTGCAGGAACTGACCTCATACCGGATATATTTATTTATTTATCTTTTTTCTGTGTGAATATTTATCTTGAGTGGATTGTAAAGTCATCGTGCGGGATTTTTATTCAATCAAGGATTCTAAAGTCACGCCTGGATATGAGTGAGGGAGTGACAGCTTAAACTAGTCTGCCTACAACAGTACTCGCGATGGTAGCGCCTGTCACTAGTGCCGGGCACTTGTACGCCATAGCTGAAGCGGAGCCATGTGCGGAGAGTTCTAACTAGCGCATGAAACGTAAACCATCCTGCTTCACTGCGTCAAAGAACGCTGGAAGAGATGGGGCACTTTTCGATTGATCCAACAAAGCTCACACATGGTGATGCGCGCCGCAACAACCCAGCAAGTGATCCAGATAGGGTCCAGTTCAGAACCTCACGCGAACAATAAACCGACTAGACATGATTCAAATACTGGAACAATAGAGAATGACCCTCAATCGATCGTAGTTCGCAAGAGAGGAATCAGGACTGGACCATGCGTGATACACATCTTCGAGTGCGAGGGCGAGGGGAGAAAAATACCGGCTACTTCAGAGCCCCATTGCTGTGGTTGCTCCTGCGCGGCGGAACAAACTGCCAGAAGCAAGTAGAACACGACCAAGCTGCAAACGTAAATCAACCTCACGGAATTTCGGCCCGAAGCCATTTCCTCTTCTCCTTGGGTACCTAATCCTCTGCAAAACCTTGATTCGAGTGAAAGGCCACAGATTCCACAATCCTACTGAATGTCATCTAAATATGCATCTCTTTACAAACTTTTCTGCTCTCTAGAGACGTCGCCCGGTTGCAAACTTATCCAGTAGGGTCCTGGAGTCATCAAATCTGGCCCTTCCTCTCGCGCTTCTACTCCTCCTCCTCCTCGTTCTGCTCCCCCTCATCGCCAGCGTCCTCGAAACTACGAACTCACGCCTCCAGTGTCGCAACCGCTAAGGCCTACTACAAGTCGACCGTCCATGACGTCCCGGAGATTTCCCGTGTCGCACCACCTCCACCACAGCTCCGCAAGCTGACATTCTCCCTCCGCGTCTCCGCCGATGCTTCCACCTGCGAGCTCGGTGGGTCCCGAGCCCATCGCCATCGTCGAGCTCGTCAATGCTGGTCTATTTCTAATCCCTACCATCGACCCCCATAAAAACTGTGCCCACAGTTTAATCAGCCACAACCAACTCGCCCTCCTGTGTGCTTCCTCCACATCTCCAAGTCAATATCTAGAATCCTGCAACTCTGCGTGGCTTCGGAAGAAACAAACCACCACCTAGAAATGCAAAAAAAACAAAGGCAAATAATCACTGCAGTTGACTTGCGTCAGAACCAGATGGACTGCAGTGATTGAGCCTGATCGGGATTACCGGCATCCATCCATCCATCGTCACATCAACATGTCTCGTCTGGCTTCTCTCTGTGATTCCTCCCCTTCCTTCATTAGTGTTTTGCTTTTTCTCTGTGTTGCAGATTCTGCGACGGTCTCTGAGTTCTCACTCTCACTCTCTCTCTCTCGGTCTCTTGATCTCGAGGTCTGCAAGCTTTTTCAGCACGAGGAGATTTTTGCTTTGTTCTTGCGAAGCATGAATTCAGGGTTTTGCAGTCGCATGATTGGCTTGCTGTTGTGTGAATGGGAGTTGCTAGGTTTGTTCATATGTTGTTGGATTCTTTCATCACATGGTCTGGTCTTGTTTATTGGGCTGTGTCCTTTTGAATTTATTTTGAGTTCTGGATCAAAGGTTATTGAAATCTAATTGGATTAGAGTCTTGGAATTAACATATCAAGGGATAATAAGAATTTCTTTGATTTTGAATAATCTGCTAGTTGGATTAAAGCAAATATTTGTTACGACATTGTAAACATAGTTTTTAAATTTTTTCTTATTTTTTAAAGATTTTATTAGGATGTTTTTGGTTTATTTTAGAATTTTATATATATTTGGTTAAAATTTATCTAAAATTTATTAAGATTTGTTTAAGATTTTGTTAGGATTATTAGGATATATTTAGAATTTGATTAAGATTTTTTGGAATTTGATTAGGTTAATTTTAGGATTAATTTAGAAGTTCTTTAAATTTTTAAATTTTTTACTTTTTATTTTTTATGATTTTTTAAATATTTTTTTATGATTTTTTTATTTAGATATTTTAAAGGTTTTTTTTTATAATTTTTAGGATTTTTTAAAGGATTTTTTTAAGGATCTCTTTTAATATTCTTTATGAATTATCTAATGATTTCTTTTAGAATTACTTTACGATTCTTTAAGATTTGATTAAAGTTTAATTATAATTATTAAGATTTAATTAATATTTGTTTAGAATTTTATTATGATTGTTAAGTTCTTTGTTTATTGAAAATACAATATACCTTACACAATCAAATGCTTAGTGCATTCCCTAATTTGTTATCATACAATACAACAACATACTATGTAATTACATGATTTTAGGATGTGTGGTTCTAAATTTTGACTACATAGAAAAAAATAGGTATATATTTATTAAAATTAGTCATTTATAATTAAAAGTCATTTAAGGATAGTTATGGTCTTTATCTATTTTAATTTTGTTTCAAAATATTGTACGTCACTTCCAATTTTGTCATATTATTAAACAAAGTTAAAAAATATATAAAATTAAAAATAAATATTATAAAAAAATAGTAGTAAAAACTAATTTTAAAAAAATAGTTATGTTTTTGGTATCTAAAAAATTAACTATTATTATTCTAATATATTGTAAAAGAATTAATATAAATTTCTTGAACAAATAGTTATATATATATTTTTTTGTCTATATGAATTTGTAAAAATTGCAAGGTATATTGTATCATCATTAAATTATAAAAGATGATTGTAGATTGCAAAAAATACAAATAAATTGATAATACTTAATCTACTTATACATAAACAAAATATTCTTATGAAAAAGATATGATTAACTATTGATGGTAAAATCACTTAAGGAATTAGAATACAAATATATAAAAATAAAAACCTTAAATTTTAGATAAAAAATCAAATTATAATAATTTTATTAATTTTCTTCAATAATACAAAACAAAGAAAAAAATATATTAATAATAATCGTAATTAAATAAGAAAATAGTAGATAAAAACTTAAAATTTTAAAATAAAAATAAAAATAATATTGAATAATATTAAATTTAGTATATTAAATTCTAATTGATATAGATTGATTTAAAATTTAAAATTATAGAAATAAAGTGTATGGCATGATTTATTAGATAGAATTATTTATTTAATTATTATATATGAAATAAGTAAAATTATTATACATATAAGCAAAAATATATAAAAATATTTTAATTTTTTTTATTTACCGATTTTTATTTTTATTTTTTTAGTATTAAAATAATAAAAAAAATTAAATTTTTAAGAAAAAATACATAAAATATATATTTTTTCATTAATATCATTTAAGTAAAAAATATATATTATTTAAGTATATATATATATATAATTTAATATATTAAATATTAATATGAGTATATATATATATTTTATATATATTTTATGTATATATAAGTATATATATATATTTTATGTATATATAAGTATATATATATATTTTATGTATATATAAGTATATATATATATATTTTATGTATATATAAGTATATTAAATATTAATATAAGTATATATTATATATATATAAGTAATTATATATATTTTATGTATATATAAGTAATTATATATATAATTAAATAATTATAATTACTTATATTATATTAAAATAATATATATAATATAAGTAATTATATATATATAAGTATATATATAATTTAATATATTTTTAGATTTTTTAGTCTAATGAATATAATATTTTTGGTTTCATATTTGACCATACTTAGATCAATAAAGTTTATTTGAATAAATATTAAAAAAATTAAGTCTAAAAATATCTAAATATAAAATTTAGAAAATATTAAATATTAAAAAATTTAAAGTACACTTATACATAAAGTTGTTAATAGATCATGGTAAGTACTAAAAAATAAATAAATATTTCTAATTATTGTTTTTTTTCTTATTTTCTCTTATAATCATATTTATTTTAAAATATACTCTTAAATTTGAAAATATAATTAGTATTAATATTATTTTTATAAATCTTATCTACATAATAGACAACAAGTGTTTTACTTTTTAATTTTATTTATTTATTTTTATTTGTAGAATCTTCGATTTTATAAAAAAAATAAAGTGATGTGATTGCTAAATTGTTATACTAAAACATATATAAAAACTTATATTAAAATTACAAAATTTAATAATAATATCTTTTTATGTCTTTTTATGTTAAAATAATTACTTTTATTTTTAAAATTAATGATATTAAGAGATATTTTATTATAACTATGTAACTTGCTTAATATTTTATCAAATTTATTTAATTTTAAATTATTAATTTTAATTGAGACCAATTATTTCTATATGAGCAAAGAAATAAATGCCTTGTCAAAGTTGCTATTGTTGTTTACCTCAAATGCCTAATTTTTTCTAAATATTTTCTTTTATTTATATTTTAATAATAAATAATAGATTGATCTTCAATTACTAATGTTCTATTCTTCAATTTAATAATTCTAGCTATATTTTTAATTTCTCCATGCCATCATATACAATGTTTTAGTATCAAGTTCATTCCTTATATAATTTGTAATATCATGTGGATATATGCCTAAGACAACTTAGACAAGCATTGCCGCATTAATTGAAGTTTATTACTAACAAAATTTCCTAGTACCAATGTTAAAATTAAGTAAAAAAATCAAGGCCAATTACACTTTATTTTTTATGAAAAAAATTCCTTTCAAAGAGGTTGATCATAGATAAATTTAACACTATATTGACAACATATAATTATTCTTTTTCTTGAAATACTCAAGCATCGAATGTTTTTGTTTTGTTTTACATAAAATCTTCTATTTTATGCATCAAAAATTCTTCCATTATATAAAAACTTGAGCCTTTTGAGAGTCTTCTTTAAAATATGCAAAAAGTTGAGATCCTCCTTTTATATTTCTAATTACCATATGATAAGGTCTAATCATACTTTTAGCATTCTATAATTCTTTGACTTTAAAAATACATACTAGTAACTTGGATCTAATAAGTAATACTACCATCATAGAGTTTAGTAACTCAAGCCACATGATATTTGGTGTAGTTGTTTCCATTCAATATATTTGCTCATGTCATGCATTTAAGTAAGAAAAACTCTCTTGCATTCATACTTGAATATGTGTGCTATTAAGTTAGAGCAACAAGTCAACTAGTTTGCTAATGCCAATTATAGCATAATTTTTTTATCTAAGATATATGAAAGTATGGTTTTTTTAATAGTTATAATAATAATTTTAAAAAAATATAATAATTTTTTTTAATAATAATTAAGCAAGATAAATGCCTATAGAATCTCTATTTACATAGCTATAGATAAATAGATCGAAAAAATTAAAACACATGCCTAAAGTTTAAAAAAAAAAAAACCTCACAAAGCTACTTGAGACTATTGGCACAACCTCTAATTGCTAGTTGTTGTACTTTCTCTTGCTTCTTTAACTTTTTAATTGACTATTCCTATGACTTCACTCTTATTAAATAACTATGTTAAAGATAAAACATCAAATACAAATACTTTATATATTTATCTATTAATAGGATCAAAAAATTAAATATTCATAAGAAGAAACAAATTGCCTTGATATAAATATAATTATTTGATCTTGCCATAGAGAACTTTTGTACAATAATTGATATTGTTTAAGTTAAAAATTATATTATTTATATGTTAGATTTACACACATACTTATATATGTGTATATATATATATATATATATATACATACACATTCATATACAAGTAGGTTGGTGGATTTGTATTGTGCTTGTTATGAATTATAATATATAAAATATATTTTAAAATACAAAGAAATAATTTTAAATGCATCTGCAAATCTAACATGTTGAATAACAAATGAATACTTTATTGTCTTGCAAAAGCATACTAATCTTTTATATCAACAAGCTGAATTCTTTAAGTTTTATTTCAACTAATTATTACACATATGTTTAGTCAAGATATTTATTGGAGAGTATTTTAACCAAACAATACAACATACGGCACAAATATCTGCCAGAATGAAAGGTGGAAGTTCCAATCTTCTATAGTTTTTCATAGTTTTGTACAAAAGAAAAAAATTAAGCATGGATGGGACT